TCCAAATTGAGGATTAACTTTATTCTATTTATGCGCGGTGGCGGAGGGTGGCTCCCTAGGCCCTGGAAGACGCCTTTTGATGATGAAATGCATCAGACGGAGCCTCCCTCTGACGTCATTGCGCTGTCAGTACCCTACAGCTTGTAAGTAGGATTTTATTTGCGCAAATAAAGGATAGTCAAACCTATTGCACTATGAGAGGCATGTTTTTCTTTCATGATATTATTTGGCATCGTATTGGAGTTCACATAGTGGTTTGTGAGGCTTGGGAGATCTTTGATCCGGGCTTGGCATGGAGAATTGGATGACACCCTATATTGCAATGCTGGTTAAGATCCCCTATAATTAAGGGGTCTGTGTTTCTGGAAAGCCTCCATTTATTTATTTGGTGGTGGTGCACACACTGGAATTTGCGCAGTTTGATCTATTTACATTAATGCCCTGAGACAGAAGGCCTGACCTGTTTGGAAGAGGCCAGGGATCGTCCCCTAGAGGTTTTAATATATCCATGTATCAGGATCTCCAGGGCCAGTGTGCTGCAATGAAAATCACTGGTTTCGTGTGTGAAGTCTGGTACACACGTTGAGAATATTGGACGAATGATCATCCTCATCTCATAAGACAGAATACAACTTCCCACAATGATGTAATGTATTGTACTGTTATGTATTCTTTCATTTCCAAGCATGTGCGGCCTTGGTCACTTGATTTTTTTATGGACAAATACTATACTGATTAAACGAAAATCATTCGTTCTGTTATCGTGCGAGAAAAATTTTCGTGCTTGTCCCTTGGATAATTTCACATTAACTGTTATTACTGTAATTAGCTCTCGAAATCTGTATACAAACAACCAGATTATCGGACAATCGCTCAGAAAGCGGTATTTTTCATCAGATTTTCTCATCGTGTGAACTAGGCATTACTCTATCTTGCAAAGCACATGAGGCATGAATCTGCACTGAAGGAAAGGAATATATGAAATGAAAAAGGTCCAAGGAATTGTCAGAGCTTCCAATGCTAGATGATTGTTGGTCCTGGCTGAAAACAGGGATAACTTATATCTGAAGTCCAGGATGTTCACATCGGAACAACAGAGAGGTCCGGACCTATAAATGTTAACATCAAGTTATATTTTGTGCATTTAGGAATGAATCCAGCTCTTTGTAGGGATGTAATGAGGGGCTTTACACTACTATGTGTGAAAGTATAGATCATTATGTAGAATGTGAACTGTTAAATATTTGGGATAAAATAGCAGGAGGGAATAATTGGAAAACTGAGGATTAGATTCAATTTATTCAAGTGGAGGAGAAGTGGAACTGTGAATTGAGAGGGTATCAAATTGTTATGAATTTGTATTGGGGAACAGGAGATATGAAATGGGGCAATGCAAACTATATAAGAGGATAGGAGATTGGAACTGTGGGTGATGCAGACTACAGAAGGGAATGGGAAATATGAATTGTGGGTGATGTGAACCAGGTAAGATATAGAGAGGACTAGGTCTTAAATGGCAGTTTCTTGACACTGGAATGGCATAGATTGCAGGGTTTAGTCATGAATCAAACGAGTTTGTCTCCAGTAATTTCCTTCCAAAGTTGGTGGTGTCAGTGGGGAGTGTCAATTTAAAAAAAAAAAAATTTAGATGGGCATCTTAGAGAATGCAATATACAGGTATAAGGGAAATGGCAAAGACATAGACACACATGCACATAAACAAGTTAAACTGGATGGAATGAAGTCTTTATTCAACCTCCCCAACTATGTAACAAAATAAACCATATCAAAAACATGAAGGGAAAAAGCTTTTCTTGATAAAAGCAACAGCAGGAGTCTTGTGCAGTGTTTGCTCTAAGGCAGCCCTTTTACTTCAAGACATTAAAGAATAATTCCAGACATGGCTATATTATATATAGCTACACTAGTCCAGCTTTGACTAGCGTAACTATGTACAAGTCATTCCTCACTGATGATACAGCCTGATACATTGTGAACACAGAAGGCTGGCTGCTCAGCATGGGCACCATTCAGTGAATGCTTTGCATTCTCTGAATGAAAGAAAAGCATTCTCTCAGTGAGCAAGGAGTAGAGCATGACATCACTGCAATCTTTGAATGATGCCCATGCCGAGCAGCCGAACTCCTTTATTCAGTAAGCAGGAGTACTGCCATTCAGTGTGGGACCTGAAAACAAATGGAGATCATTGAAGTAGCGGTGTCTACTCAACGATTTCCAGCTTCTAGGAGCATTTGCCAAGTATTGTATATACATACAACCTGGATCAATGTAAGCATGTATAATATATTCTTTAAAATGGGTCCAAGCTCATTTTATAAAAAATGTTGTACTTTATAGAAGGTACGGTATGTAGATGTATTTTTAGGTTTGTACTATTTCTATTTTTTGTAGATATATTTTGTGAGCCTTTGTAGTGAGTTTGGAATGTATTAACACAAAACTATAGACAATATACTGCAAATTTAAAAAAAAAACGATGCATATCATGCAGTCTGTCCCTAGCATAATGACCAGTGCTGACAGGCTTGGATGGGCAAATGCCACATGCTTTTGAGCCTCAGTTTGAGATGTTTTTGAGATCATTCACAATTCATTTTACTGTATACAGGGAGGCATGACACCATAAATAATAATACATACATTTAGGGTTTACAAATACTTTAAGATTATATTTATATTTGTGACTCAAGACCGTGGTACTTGATAACATCAAATAGTTTTTTTTTAACTAAATTTTTTTTAAATTTTGTTAAGGTGATCATAAACCCATACATAAGACCACTAAAATTACTAATCTCAGGTGACAAACAATATTGAAGCAAATCCTCCCACATAATCTGTATCTGTTTATCAGCCCCCTTCTCTTCCACAGCCAAAGTACACAGAGAAGATGGTATTTCTCAGCTTCCAGGAGGCAAAGGGCAGGGATCAGATGTCGCACATTGCACAGCACAGAGAGCTGAGTGTAATCTGACACCTGAGTGGAGAGGAAGGACACACCCCCCTTCTAAACAGTCTCATAGAGAAACATGCACATCAGAGGCTGTCAATCACCTGCTGTGTCCTGGGGGCTGTCTGTCACCATGGATTGTCAGAAAGTTGGGAAAAACTGTCAAAAGTGATAGATGCAGATTGTAGGTAGAACTATATTTAGGGGTGATCAGAGTGAATGATAACTTTTATGAATATACAGTATCTAATGTCATGTTCCCAGCTATTAAGAGACTATATAAGGTAGTAATTGGTTAAACGAGCGCTAGATAAAAAGCTAAGCGACTAGCATAAAGGTCAAACCTCAAATCCTCATACAACATCAATAATCATAAAATGCAGCGCTAGTCAAATGATGAATAAAATAATGATAAAATATGACAAAAACGTGCGCTGTGGAGCGCTAAGGGTATTGCTGAAAGTAGCGTCTGGGTATGACGCATAAGATGCAATAGTGACACAGATCTGTATAATAGGTAAAAACGTTCAATATATATAAATGGGTAATTCCGTGACTCCAGTGGATGGAAAAATGAGTATACAGTATATTGCACTAACCAGAAAGCGCAATTATAAGCGCATTTGAGTAAATTACACCACTCCTGGTCATCTGTATCCTAAAGGTAACCCAGGGATCATCTGGCACACGTCTGCACATCAGTTGATCATCTGGCTGCTACTCTCCAGGTTTCCAGGGTAAATCCCATCCCGTGCAGGCGCTTTCTGGTTAGTGCAATATATACTCGTATTTCCATCCACTGGAGTCACGGAATTCACCCATTTATATATATTGGACGTTTTTATCTATTTATGCAGATTTGTGTCACTACTGCACCTTATGCCTCATACCCAGACGCTACTTTCACCAATACCCTTAGCGCTCCACAGCGCACGTTGTTGTCATATTTATCATTGTTTTATTCATCATTTGACTAGCGCTGCATTTTATGATTATTGATTAAGAGACTAATCTTTGGCACTAACAGAGAGATCCAGGATATATGAAAGATGCTAACTTAACCCCTAAGAGCCATTTAAAATCCATTGTGCTGTTACAATACACCAAAAACCATCCTAAATTTTGCCTTACATGGTCTCTTAATCTACTGCTATTGTAAAGCATTGCAAGGTAGGAAACAGCGCCTTTATATGCAATGAGAAAATATGTCTAATGCCATGAACATACAATATATAATTACAAACTGTTGACTGATAAGATCAAGTTGAACTCTTTAATATACTGTATCTATAAAAAATTTTATGCAATAAATTATATGCACCCTGTGCTCACACACAGTGAAAATACCATACAAGCTTTTAAATAGGCAAACTAGTGTTGGGAAGACAATGATAAATGCAAACACTTACAGTATATGTTAAAATGCCACATTAGGTTTGATTTGTTTATTTGTATTACCTCTATTTACCCAATGATAGTGTCAGGTGGATCAATGCAAATACTTGACACTGTTATTGGGATCACACTACGGCAGTGCACTAACGGCATGCATGTTGAGCCACGCATTAACATGAGTTGGGTACATGTACCTTAGGTGCATTTATTTTTTTTATAACACATTGCACCATAACAAGTGGTAATGTAACACAATATAGCCCAACGGTGTTAACCTAGCCTAAGTGTGCTTTTTTAGGTTGTTTAAAACAAGTAAAACATAGTAATTTCCCTGCTTCTACTACCACAAATATGAACCAAATACAAATATAAATTATTTGTATCTACTGTGCTAAATATCTACCAAGTTGAGCTTTTTAATTTGAATTGCTGGTGGTTCCTGCAAATCCCAGTCCAACATTGTCATTATTGACTTGCATTTTACCACTTCAGTTTACAAGGTTATATACATTGCGGTACAGGGTATATTATCTAGTTTTCAGATGTAGGCCAGTGAAAATGCTTTCAATGTTTAACCCATATGAAAAAAAAAATAATTTTATTCTGCATATACTGTATATCTAATATACAACACCTAATTTTTGCTTTTCTTAACGCCAGTTCTTCTTCATTTCCCAAGTCAAGAGAGACATCTTCAGTGTCATCTACAGCAACCTGAAATACAAGATATGCAGGTCAATGAACATTAAAATGGAGGTATGGGAAACATTAAATATTACATAAACTATGCAGTCACAAGCATTACCACAGTAGTTTTTGTAACATAGTTTTATCATCTATTGATTTCACCACTTGCTTTTACAAGGTGACAATACTGTTTTCTCTGAAGTTAAATTCCATACCAGAATTGTCACCCTTTGGACAAGGCATATTTATATAACAGTAAATCTGACATTCATCAAACATTCACTGCAGGTGAATCTTCCCAGTGCATGTGTGTTAAATCAGAGTGTTTCACCACCAGTGAATATTTAATGAAAGTTACATTTACTAATTTATAAATATGCCCCATAGTTTTTAATGGGCTTTGGTGAGCCGCAAAAAAATTAAAGCCCAACTCCAACAACTCATTTTAAGTACTTACTATAACTGTTTTTTTTAAATAATTTTAACCATATGAATTAAAGTTGACTATTGTGTTCGGCTGACCGCCTACCTTACAACTTCCAGATGGTGTAAACATTCCTTTACTTGGAAACTCAATGACAATCTAGTACTAGTGAACGCTATAGAGTAGAGATGTCATCCAAGAAGTAATGTTTGACACTCATAACCATAAAATGGGACTATATCCAGATGATTTTTTTGCTGTATCTTTCTAACCCCTTGATAGGAATTCCTTCTCTTATACAATAATTTGAATTCTCTAGGGAACTCAGTAACTGTAAAGTTAACTTACAGAAGTCTGGAGCCTTAAACATCTTGCTCCAAATGACTGAACAACTACAACTTCAAAATCTTCTAAACTTTCCTTTTAAATGGAAGCATGACCATAATATCTAGGGGTACAAATACCCTTCAATAATTCAAATCTATACAAACTAGATTAAACACTGTTATTTAATGAGATTTGCTTCAAACTACAATGTTGAATGAATCTCCACAATACATGGTTTGCAGGAATCTCACTTTTTAAAATTAACCTTCTCCCACGTCTTTACTTTTTCCAGACTGTGCATACAGTGGGGATCGAAAGTTTGGGCACCCCAGCTAAAAATTTGTATTAATGTGCATAAAGAAGCCAAGGAAAGATGGAAAAATCTCCAAAAGGCATCAAATTACAGATTAGACATTCTTATAATATGTCAACAAAAGTTAGATTTTATTTCCATCATTTACACTTTCAAAATAACAGAAAACATAAAAATGGCGTCTGCAAAAGTTTGGGCACCCTGCAGAATTTATAGCATGCACTGCCCCCTTTGCCAAGCTGAGACCTGCCAGTGTCATGGATTGTTCTCAATCATCGTCTGGGAAGACCAGGTGATGTCAATCTCAAAGGTTTTAAATGCCCAGACTCATCTGACCTTGCCCCAACAATCAGCACCATGGATTCTTCTAAGCAGTTGTCTAGAAAACTGAAACTGAAAATAGTTGACGCTCACAAAGCTGGAGAAGGCTATAAGAAGATAGCAAAGCGTTTTCAGATGTCAATATCCTCTGTTCGGAATGTAATTAAGAAATGGCAATCATCAGGAACAGTGGAAGTTAAAGCAAGATCTGGAAGACCAAGAAAAATATCAGACAGAACAGCTCGCAGGATTGTGAGAAAAACAATTCAAAACCCACGTTTGACTGCACGATCCCGCCAGAAAGATCTGGCAGACACTGAAGTTGTGGTACACTATTCCACTATAAAGAGATACTTGTACAAATATGGTCTTCATGGAAGAGTCATCAGAAGAAAATCTCTTCTACGTCCTCACCACAAAAATCATCGTTTTGAACTTTGCAAATGAACATATAGACAAGCCTGATGCATTTTGGAAACAAGTTCTGTGGACCGATGAGGTTAAAATTGAACTTTTTGGCCGGAATGAGCAAAGGTACGTTTGGAGAAGAAGGGGCACAGAATTTAAAGAAAAGAACCTCTGTCCAACTGTTAAGCATGGGGTTGGATCAATCATGCTTTGGGGTTGTGTTGCAGCCAGTGGCACAGGGAACATCTCACGAGTAGAAGGAAAAATGGATTCAATAAAATTTCAGCAAATTTTGGATGGTAACTTGATGCCATCTGTGAAAAAGCTGAAGTTAAAGAGAGGATGGCTTCTACAAATGAATAATGATCCTAAACACACCTCGAAATCCACGGGGGATTACATCAAGAGGCGTAAACTGAAGGTTTTGCCATGGCCTTCACAATCTCCTGACCTCAACATAATTGAAAATCTATGGATAGACTTTAAAAGAGCAGTGCGTGACAGACAGCCCAGAAATCTCAAAGAACTGGAAGACTTTTGTAAGGAAGAATGGGCAAAGATACCTCAAATAAGAATTGAAAGACTCTTGGCTGGCTACAAAAAGCGTTTACAAGCTGTGATACTTGCCAAAGGGAGCAGTACAAGATATTAACTCTGCAGGGTGCCCAAACTTTTGCAGATGCCATTTTTTTTTTTGTTTTCTGTTATTTTGAAAGTGTAAATGATGGAAATAAAATCTAACTTTTGTTGACATATTATAAGAATGTCTAATCTGTAATTTGATGCCTTTTGGAGATTTTTCCATCTTTCCTTGGCTTCTTTATGCACATTAATACAAATTTTTAGCTGGGGTGCCAAAACTTTCGATCCCCACTGTAATACTTTCCTAATTTTTTTCACTCTCTTAAAATCTCCTCTAACAATATATATTTGGAAGTGCAGTAGAGTCCCCACTTCACTTTCAAAACATATCATCACCATTCTATTTTCATCCCCATGGTGCTTAAGGTCTGCAAGTCCACTAGATATTTAAGTTTTCAACATCTCACGGTCCTCATACTCTGATCTTGGGCAATCCTGATTTTTTGCTGGTATGCAACACTCAAACATTCCTTCATTGGTTGGCCCCAGGGCCTTTTTACTTTGTCCAATGCTTACACCATGTATGTTGATGCAACTATTCCACCCTGACTCTCCACCTACAGGTGTATGGATACAATATCCCCAATTAAGATTGTTCAATACATTTTAAAACAAACATTTATCTTGACCCTTGACTTACCGTATTTTGCGCTCCATAAGACGCACTTTTTTCCCCCAAAAAAAGGGGGGGAAATGTCAGTGCGTCTTATGGAGCGAATATGGAGCGGCCGGTCCGGTATTTCCGCCGCCGCCACCATGTCAGAATACCGGGGCGGCCTCTCAGCTCTTCTCTTCTGCAGGACCTTACCTGTTCCTCTGTCCAGTCTTCCCGTGCCGGCTTCTGTGACAGCCGGGTGCCCACTGCGCATGCGCGAGAAGCACTGTGCTTTTGTGAATGGTCCAGCGACTTCTGGGACACATGACAGGTCCCAGAAGGCGCCAGGCCATATACAAAGTGCAGCGCTTCTCACGCATGCGCAGTGGGCACCCGGCTGTCACAGAAGCCGGCGTGGGAAGAAGCCACCGTGCCCACACTAAAGAAAGGACAACTTCAGGTACCCGCTCCCCCTGCCTCCCCAAAGGTCCGCAGTCTCTTGGTCATCCCCTGTACTGTCTGCAGTCTCTGGTCATCCCCTGTACTGTCTGCAGTCTCTGGTCATCTGTACTATGTCTGCAGTCCCTGGCATTTTCCCTGTACTATGTCTGCAGTCTCTGGTCATATCCTGTACTGTGTCCGCAGTCTCTGGTCATCCTCTGTACTGTGTCCGCAGTCTCTGGTCATCCTCTGTACTGTGTCTGCAGTCCATTGGTTCAGAATATTTTTTTTCTTGTTTTTCACCTCTAAAACCTAGGTGCGTCTTATGGTCAGGTGCGTCTTATGGAGCGAAAATACGATATTTTATGCAAGCTTGCTACTCAGACTATTCCCATGAACATCCTATATACCTTTATATGTGACATATAATATGGAATTTTTACACACCCAAAACACACATGGAAAAACTAAAAGTTCACTACATGTTATTTGTAAAGCCTTCAGAAACAAGTGGCTGCCTTGGAATACGTTTATGGATTCTGCGGAGTTCTGGACCCTAGAATGAGCTTCTTTTCCCCTCATTCCCATTCCTTTCTTCAAATGACTTCAACGTTTAAAGTATTACTAAACCCAGGACCCTGCAGTCACTATATCTTGTCTCCCACAGAACATGGAATGCAATTATTTTAGTAAATATAAACTGCTAAATACCTTTTTGCATCAGCAGTTAGAGCAGTCTTCTGACTTCTATCAGTGCCCAGCTGAGCACTGGTTAAAGCTTGTGGGAGGAGTTTTCATTGCCCTCTCACTGCCCTATGAGATTGCAAAACCCCTGACCCTCTGTCTGGTCAGTGCTGTGTGGCCCAGTGCTGATCACATGCACCCTCCCAAGAAAAATAAAAAAATCTAGAAATACACACCAAACTGAGCATGTGCAGATTGTCCCAAAGGCTGTGTTCTATCAGGAGATGAAATGGGGAACGTGGAGCAAGGGGGGGATAAGAGAAGACAGGATAAAACATCCTGGACCCTGGAGTTCTGTCTAATGGGTAAAGTCCAAGGAGCTTTTACTAAGAACCACAGTCTCTTGGACCAAAAAAGAGCTACCTCGATAAGAGATGTTGTTTCTAACTGTAGCTTTTTAGGCTTCATTCACACGGTGCATATACAATTGCTTTTTAATTACAAAGCTGAATACATCTGCATTGTTTTCAACAGTCATTCACACAGGTGTGTAAACATGAGCTGCTTTCAGATCCATAACACAGAATCCAAACATCTGCCTCTAAGAACATGTGATGTATGCCCTTACACATATGAATGCATGTATATGCATTTGTATGATTGTAAATTAAGTCTGAACAAAACGGAAAAATAAATTATCATAGAATTAAGCTATGTACGCATGCACATCTTGACACATTTAAAGGCATCTACACACAAGCATTTTACTGATTAATACACAGGAACTTTTCTCCTAGAAAACAAGTGTAATAATATCAGTAAAATTATTATAGCCATGTGAATGAAACCTTAGAACTAATGGAACAAGCAGAAAAGCTGGAATTTCCATGGATGAGCTAGGACATATGTTTCTAAGGCTTCGTTCTTTCTGTTTAGATAAAACAACGTGGACACATTCACATTCTCCTGGTTCCTGCACAAATCTACCTGTGGCTAACCCCATTTGTCTGTGATCATTGTGAAAATGTCCTATCTCAAAGCCCACTCTTAGTGTCTCCTTAGTTCTCTTTAAGTGCACCATTGTCAAGTGTGCCAAAATCCTTTCCAAACCATCTTAGAAACTTCTCTGTGAAATTCAGCAGAATACTGCTTCTGCCCCCCCCCCTTTTTGAGTGATGTATACCACTGCAAGATCTGTACATGCTGATCCCTCAGATCCTGCGCTTAGAGGATCAGAGCTAGGGGGATTGGTTTCAATTCTCTCCAACTGGAGGATCTTTTTGCATCCCTCTTTGGTCAAGTACTCTGAATTATCTTTAGGTCTAGGTGTGCTCCTGGGACTTGCATCTGTGGCAAGTCTTATAGAAACCACAAAGGCCCATAATAACTACTTAATCACATTATTCAAATTCCTCCACGACCAAAGGGATCTCTTTATTTAGCTGTGGATATTTATTCACCAAATCTAGTGATTTTGGCCTATGATCCCATGTATGACCTTGCTTGCCTACTGACCTGCCTCTGGATTTCTGCCTCCTCGTTGTAACTTTGGCCTGCCTTCAGGACTCTGTTTATTGCCTTCTGCCCTTTACTTGATTAGTTCAGCTGTCACTGACTTGCTTGTTTCCTGCACTCCGTTTTTTCTTCCTGATTAGGTACTATCCTACTCCACTATTCATGAACTCAGTTTGGGCTGCACCTCTTTCTTCTGATCTGGTATCCCACAGCTGTGTTCACCCTCGATGAGAGCCTCAACCTAGTTTCTCAACCCTGCTTGGGTCCTGCTCCATGATCCTCTGTCCTCCGCTCCATGCAGCTGTCATTAACACAGATCTGGTACTGCCTGCAGCTCCCCTCACATTCTCTGTCACCACCTTCAGGAGTATAAGGCTGAAGGAGCTAGAGGTTCCCCCTCATCTACATGTTCTCTACCACGTATATAAATGGATCCTGCTCCTGATCACCAGACCAGACCTGGAACTATAAGCACCAATGAGGAACCACACCTTTCCTTCTTCTTTCCAGTGGTTGGAATGGTAGGGTCGCAATGCCTACCCGGAAGTCTTGCCCCCGCCTTAATGTGACATCACCCACTGTCAGGAACTTTCAGACTGATACCACTGCACACCTCACAGAGTTCTATCATGGAGGGAAGGATTGTGAAGCACCCTAAAAGGATCTCTATGGTGCAGGGGGACCTAGCAGACTTTCCCTGAGCACAAAAGAAAAAGGAGTGCTTCGGGGCGGTTGTCTGAACAAAACCTGTGAACTGTGAACTATGTAGGTGCCAGATAGCTAGTACTAACAAGAAAGCAGGTAAGAACAGCCACCCCACCTCAGCACCACATGTGACAAAAATTGTAGTCCCCCTACAGTTCCTAGAGGAACAACTAGGAGAAAAGTTGTCTGTGAATGGTCCTCCTTATAAAGAATTGTTCCGGCTCTGGTTCCTGGAAACTATGGGTGAAGCTATCCTCTTTTAGGTGCTGTTTTGAAAGATGATTTGGAAAATTGTGATGCCACTGGCCAATGTTTACCTACCTAAACCCTAAGAGCTGCAGATAATTTTAGAAAGACTCCACCACCCCCTCCCAGAGGCTTTTGTCTCTACTGCCATCCAACTGTGGTGCCACTGGCCACTTTTTATGTACCCAAACCTGAAATCTGAAGCAATTTTTTTTTGGTTTGAGCCTTGTGTCACAACCTTTGTATGTTGACACTGCCATCGACCTGTGGTGCCACTGGTCAATATTTAACTACCCGCACCTAAAGGCTGAAGCTTTATTTTTTAATTTTTTTAGAAAGACACCTCTCTGTGGCTTGTGTCTTTGTTTTTAAGACTGTAATCCCTGGTGTCACTGGCCAGTTTTTACCCACCCTTACCTGAGGGCTGTAGTTCTAATTTTTTTTTTTTATAAAGACAGTGCCTGTATCTCTGCATTTGCTTGGCTGCACGGCCTTCAAACTTTTGTGCCACTGCACAGTTTTTATCCACCCATTCTTTAATTCCTGTTTGGATTGCAAACTGTGGTGCCACTGGCAAATTTTCACCCTACCATTGACTGGGGCTATAATTATTTTTGTTTAGGAGGATGATTCCCATGCTGTAAGGGACCGCCTGGCGGTACCACTAGCGCTCCACTGATTAGGCGCTCCCAGGGCACGGGAGTCTAAGCCCCAGGTACTTGTTCACCAGAGCCCCTGATGGTGGGGATGGACTTGGAGTACCCTGAGACCAGGTCGTGGCTCCTGAGTACGCCTGTCAGTGGTAGGGGTATTCGCCAGGGGCTCCCACGGGGAAGAGCCTGATGTGAGGAGGTCGGGAGACCCCGGTGGGATGGATGGATGGATGGATGAGCAGGTTGAAGGTCAGACAAGCCGGGTCGGTAACAGTGAGGTCGGTGCGGTACAAAGCAGCGGGCAGAGAGTAGTTGGGTCACACGCCAGGTCAGCAACAGGAGGTCAGATCTAGTAAGGGGCATCCAGGAGAGAGGTCAGGCAAGCCAGGGGTCAGAGTGGGAGAATACAGCAAGGGTCAGGTCCAATCCGGGTCAGCAACTTACAGGAAACAGGATCACAGGTACAGGTATGCAGAAGAGACCAGAAGGCACTGAATGACAGTTCAGGGCCGTTTAAATATCGCGCCCTGCGCTGTCATTGGTGCCCGGCGCGCGACCGCGGTTCCTACTGCGCATGCGCAAGCCTGAATGCCGCGGTCGGCCAGGAACTGGTGCCCGCGTCCCTGCAGAGAGCGGCGCACTGCGCCTGCGCCGGGACCAGCGCCACGGGGATCCCTGACACATGCCTTAGTTCTTATTCCTTTTTAAAACTGAAAGATGCAGATATGGGTATAGAGGCATGCAGAAAATGGAGGGTGCAAAGTGTTACAGATGCAGTGGGGTGCTGCAAACAAACTAAAAAAAAAAGTTGTATTCAGTTGTATTCAAACTGAACAACGCCCTCCCCAAAAGAAAATCCTAGTAAGTGGTCCTGTCCTCAAATCCACTCCAAACAAAAAAAATTAAAGACTATTAAATAGAATGTAGCACTAGCAATCAATGGCTTGTTTGGTTCAATAAATTCTGTAAACAATGGTGGCCACAAAAACAGAGTGCACCTCACCACTGTAATACATAGAACTCAAACATAGTAAACACCTACAGCAATCTGTCCTTATAGCTTCAATACACTGCCACTCTGGCTGCTCTCAGAATATCCCTCCACTCTGCCTCCACTACCTCCACTTATAATGAGCTGCAGGTTCCTGGTTTCCAGTGTCATTTTAGTCTACTAAAATACGACTAAAACAATTCAGATGACTAAAATGGCATCTTAGTAAAAAAGCTATGACTAAAACAAAATTGAAATCTGATGGCAAAATTAACACTGTACTACCAAATATGAATAAGTAGGTAAGCTGATGAAAGAAAAAAAAAATGTAAAATGATTTTCTTAATATTTAATGTTGATATAATATGGCATTACAGCCAATAGCTTACAGGTTTTTGTGTATATATATATATATATATATATATATATATATATATATATATATATATACACACACACACACA